CACACCAAAGCAACCTTGTCTTATACATAGAGGACAATACACACAACAATACTCTTACATACGAAACAGTACACACCAAAGCAACCTTGTCTTATACATAGAGGACAATACACACAATAATGCACCTACATACGAAACAGTACACACCAAAACAACCTTGTCTTATAAATGGAGGACAATACACACAACAATACACCTATATACGAAACGGTACACACCACAGTAACCTTTTTATAAACATAGGGGTCCTACCTGACAGGTGTAGACACCATGCTGGAACTCTTCATTCGCCAACGCAGCCCAGTCACTCTCCTTAGCCTCCTTGCCGATCATCAGCATACGGCGCAAATCAATGTACCAATCCAGGAACGTAAGCCTTGGCTGGCGTTTGCTCGACAGGGTGAAGTGAGTCATATACTGATCTCCTATCATAATGGGCCGTGCGCCTTCGTCCACAGGCACTTGCCAGTACGGTGTGGGTTTGATTTGTGACGCCGCCAGTGCTTCGAGAGCCTAGCTGAGTCCGTGGGTCAAATGCTTGAGTGCGAGTGTGCTCAGTTTAGAATAGCACCAGCGTGTGCTATAAATAGAACCACGAAGCGTGTATTCAACTCTACATACACTTGCCCGTACGGGCGCGAGTTTGGACTATGAAGTGGTGAGTGTTTCGAGTGCCTGACGGGGTCCGTAGATTAAATGATTGGATGTGTACTACATATAGACAAGCGTCAGTGTGTACTGCTATCAGTATACTTGGTTGTATACCTACTAGTCTACCTACTGGGACTTGACAGAACGTTGCGGGTTTGAGCTGTGCTGCCGTGAGACCTTTGAGGACCTGGCTGGGTCCGTAAATTAAAATAAAGGCTCGATTGTGTGCTATTTTTAGAATAGCGCTTGTGTGTGCTATTTTTAGAATAGCGCTTGTGTGTGCTATTTTTAGAATAGCCCTCGTGTGTGCTATAATTAGAGTGATGGGTTATGCACCTTACACCACAGAAAACTGCCAGCAGCGCAGACTTAATAGGCAATGCCGCGAGAGCTTTTGAGAGCCGTACTTTCCGTAAGTCAAACAACAAGTAGAGACGGAAGCCATAGTTTAGTTGCTATAGGTGGTAAAGACTGGAGCCTCAGTTTAGTGGCTACATTATGCATTATACTTACAACGTCTCACCGTGTGGTATTTATACACCCACTCAACCACATACATCGTACGGTGCGCTTGCACCTACATGACTCACGCACTGAAGTCCAGGTGTGTGTTACATGGTGCACATTTTAATTCGCCGGGTTAGGGTTTTAGGGTTTAAAGCAGGGCCGCCTGAGTATAAGCGGGCTATTTTTAGACCGGCTTGCACAACCGAGGTATGTGCGTACATGCCCGTGTACTACTGACATGTGCGTGTGACCTATTGAACCCAATCCATATCTCCAATGTTTTAAGGTGCACACCCTCTTATGTAAGCCAGCATTCACCGATTCATGGGCTTCTAAATGGGCCTTCTGACAGCGCACCCCACAGATGCACGACGCTCAGATACCGCACACCTCTACGCCCAAGGCATTGCACTCGAACACACTACACAGACACGCTTGCCCGTGATTGGGGCGTATCATATATCTACGTACAGTAACCAGTGATGCCAAGTACATACTCACGCGGCTCCCAAACAATGCAAGATACCTACCTTCTCCGTATCCACATCCACCAGAGCCGTCCCCGGTGTCTGCACCTCACACACCGTTTTTCTCACCGTTGTGAGCTTATCCCCCGCATCTCCAGGCTCTCGCACTCGGTAGCTGGACTGCGTCATGGGCTCTATGGTACCCTTGAGTCCTTTATGCACACCCCTAACCACAGCCAAGACATCCCCCACCACGCCCACTCACAGGCTATTGGTGTACTCGTCTGGCATGTCGAAGGGTGTAGTGGCAGAGGCAGCCGTGGCACTGACAGCGCTTGTGGATAAGCCCATATCTCGCATGAGAGCATCGGTATCTACCTCCAAGGCCTGCTGCACGCCAACGCCGGGCAGGATACGGCACGAGCGCTTGACCACATTCGTCTGGGCCAGGGCACACTCGGCTCCCTTCGCGACTATATCTAAGGTGTAGTTATGCTCCGTCAATCTCACCACAACCTTTTTTTTGGAGGTTCTGGGTTCTGCAATGAGTTTAGGAACGCAAAACCCCAAAACCCATAAACATTGATCGAGTGGCAAAACTCGTGCACATTCTACAATGCAGGTGAACGCAATCAAGTACTAGTTTGGAATACCAACCCCAGTCACCCGTGCTTTCAAAACGCGTCGTGCCATTTCCTTTCATTCAATACGTTTATTATTTTCGGGCCTTTTTGCCTACTACTTATTTACACATAAGTTTAGTTTAGTTCATCCATCCCCGACACTTTTTGGAACCGCACAGGCATGGTGCGCGATTTTCGTCATCAAAGTCGAACATGTAGTCGTAGCTGAACTCTTCACCCACCTGAGCGAATTCAGGCAACAATGGGAACGGAGCAGGATGTTAAGCAAGCGTGGGAATATATCATATTTGAGTGTGATATAGATTTTAAGCAAACTTGAGAATATAACATATTCAAGTGTGCCATAGAACTTTTGCAACAGTCCGATACGATCAAGGACACTATGTGAACAGCGGTTGCTCACATTCACGCCATAGCACAGGTCGTCACATATCCATGTCAGGCTAATAGTACAGCTGCAGGGCTCGTCTGCCATACTGTGGCCGTGGGTCAAGTACTACCACATGTGGCAAAACGAGAGCACGACACAGAGACCGCACCAGCGCAAGTGCAAACGCCTATGGAGTTAGTACAACGGCGCACACAGGCAAGAAACCCTAAAAACCCCAACCCCAACTCTAAAAATCCTAAACGTCTATAGTGGTAGCACAACAGCCCACACACGCAAGTGTAAACGCCTATTGAGCTAGTACAACGGTACGTTTTACCATACCTGAATGTCGCGAATGGCTGTGATGATGATATGGTCTTCGCCGCAGACAGTGATTATCTCTGACTTGCAGCATGGCTGTAATAGTGCACAGGGAAAGTGTCCCAAAGTATAGGATTGAGTTTGGGTTGGGCGACAAAACATACTAAAGGGCCTCCATAGAGGCCGAGTCTAGGCTTTACACTTGAAGGTACAACAAAGGGAACATACGCGTATGTGCAGTATGGGTTTGTACACACAGAGTGTGGCCATAACATATCCTTCATCTCTGCGATGGTGTGCACAAACGAAGAGGATCGGCACAGGACGGGGCCCGCCACCGTGTAGATTGAATCACACAGCGCGATCGGTTGTTTTAAACTATTAACACACATCACACACACATATACACATACACCCGTACAACGATACGAATGCATACGGGGTCAGGGTGTTGTAATGTCCTTAAGAAGATACACCCCCCTCCTCCCAATGATATTGGCAGTTGCGTCGTACGCACAGACACACTTTAAGCGTTACACTCTACACGTACGAGTACTAAGAAGTGAGTACAGTACAGTACATATACAAATACACCAGCAGCCCCGCTGTGCTCTCGTACAATAAATATGCATATATGCATGTCTATATATATATATATATATATATTTATATATATATATAGATCTATATATATCTATATATACAATGCGTTTGGACGGATGCCCGAGTGCGTAGACATATAACACACCTCACAGGAGTGGTTGATAAATCGGGCGGCATTGCCAATAAGTGTGGCGTCCACCACAATCTCATCGTTCATTTTGAACATGTAACATCCGATTTTGCGACTGTTGTAGTAGCGTTCTCGTTGGTCCGTGAGATGCTGCGATGGTAAAGTAATTATGATGATATTGTTATAAGTACTCATTGCGAGCATTCATATTCGTATGCAACCTCGTAAAAGATAAACAAATCAGTATATATATATATATATATATATATATGTATATATATACATATATATATATATATATACACACACACAAACACACACACACACATATATATATCTTATTGGATGGGGAATAAGTTTGATTCTACCAAAGGGATATGGTGGGGAAGTAAGCTACGAACAACGGTCTCAGTAGGCCGAATAAACAGTTTTATTGACATGTCCATATCAGCATCACACACACAGAGTTGTGCGTACATATACAACGCTTACTGCAGACGCCAATATATAGCACTAGCAACTCGAATGTCCAAGTATTTTAGGGTTTAGGGTTGACTCAGCCTCAATCAATAGTCTGTATGGCGCCATGTACCTACCTTTCCATATATGAACATCTTCAGCATTTATCCACAAAGCATAAACAAAGCATTAATCCACATTGTACACGAATGCACACGCACGTACACCACACTCCCATCCCATACCAGTCTGATAGCCTCGCCCGCATACTCAATCACCATCTCCCCTGCCTCGATAGGCTCAGTGGCGTATAGGCCTTGGCCTTGGATGCCAGATCTACCTACACGCGTGCGCTTCCTCACCAGCTCTCTCAGCTGCTTGTACTGCGTCTCTATGGTGTCACCAGCCCTCCGGCGCTCGCACTTGTGAGCGTCGTGTGAGTTCTGTGATTGGGTGGGCATGGGTGTGGGGTTGTGCGGGGTGAGTGTGGGTATCAGAAATCATCAGAGAAGGTAGTAAACACGAGTCACACATTGTGAACGTGTGCGTTCTGTGATTGGGTGGGCATGGGTGTGGGGTTGTGTGGGGTGAGTATGGGTCTCGAGAGCTATCCGACATGGTGAGCCATATAACACATCAATGACTGGAAACAGTCGTTGGCAGTGGGTTAAGGGTTTAGGGTTTAGGATTTAGGGTATTTAGGGTTTAAGCATAGGTGCGGTGTGATATAGATACCAGAAACTGTCGGAACGGCACGAGAAGACCCGTTCGAGGGGTCACAAACGAGATGCGCATATCGACGTCAGTCAGCACCTTCAGATCCTCGCAGACACGGGACGGGATAGCTTGTACACCCCACCTGCGCTTAGTGCCCTATAATCATCTGTGCAAATACGACACCCGCCTCCCCGACACCAACGACCAATCAGAAGCACAATTATAAATAGCACATACAAAGAGTACTCCGCGTTGCCTGGTAACGCCGTTTTTGGTGGGGGTGGAGTCTGTATGGTCCTCCCGTTCCACCCGCATGGTGGTGCATCGTGCTTTGCTGCGTCTCTTTGTGTAAAGGTCGCCCCTGGCACAGCCCGACACAGAGTGGCGAGTGAGATCATACGCCTTAGCCGCAGCCAGCTCTAGTTCTTCATCCTGTTTCAGTGGTCGAGAGAGTGAGTGTGTGTGAGTGTACAGAGAGTGAGTGTGTGTGAGTGTACAGAGAGTGAGTGTGTGTGAGTGTATTCAGAACAAGCGAAGGGAACGTCCGATGAGACAGACGTATGTGTGACTGTGTGGCTGTGCAGTGGTCCAGAGAGTGAGTGTGTGTGAGTATACAGAGAGTGAGTGTGTGAGAGTTTACAGAGAGTGAGTGTGAGTGAGAGTGAGTGTATTCAGAACAAGCGAAGGGAACGTCCGGTGAGACAGACGGGTGTATGACTGTGTGGCTATGCAGTGGTCCAGTGAGTGAGTGAGTGTGAGTGTACAGAGGGTGAGTGTGTGTGAGTGTACAGAGAGTGAGTGTGTGTGAGTGTACAGAGAGTGAATGTGTGAGAGTGTACAGAGAGTGAGTGTACAGAGAGTGAATGTGTGAGAGTGTACAGAGAGTGAGTGTGTGTGAGTGTATTCAGAACAAGCAAAAGGAACGTCCGATGAGACAGACGTGTATGTGACTGTGTGGCTGTGTAGAGGTCCAGAGAGAGTGTGTGTGAGAGTGTACAGAGAGTGAGTGTGTGTGAGAGTGTACAGAGAGTGAGTGTGTGTGAGTGTATTCAGAACAAGCGAAGGGAACGTCCGATGAGACAGACGTGTATGTGACTGTGTGACTGTGTAGAGGTCCAGAGAGTGAGTGTGAGAGAGTGAGTATGAGAGAGTGTACAGAGAGTGAGTGTGTGTGAGTGAATTCAGAAGTATCGAAGGGAACATCCGATGGGACCGACGTGAGCGTGACTGTCAGTATGTGTATATGAATGGACGTGAACGTTAGGGTGCACAGAAGTGGGTGTGGGTGTGGATATATACACATGTATAAACACAGCGCATTTGTTGTACGCCCATACATCGTCAGTCTATGAACATCTCAAACCCTTACCCTAAACCCTAAAACCTTAGCATACATATTAACCATGCCAGTACACCCGAAGTAGTGAAGCTCACACCACAGTACCTGTCTCGCCGGTTCGCCCGAGGGTGTGGGGAAGGTCTTGAAGCGATAGGCATCACACATCCACGACCCAGGCAGCCGCTCAATACGTCTGACTGTGTGAGTGGCCGACAGACCAAAGAACCAGTGTGCATACACCGAGTGCTTGGTGCGGGGGTGAAACGAAACGCGTTTACTAACGGCGTCTTTGACCGGCACGCTGTGGCTGTAGCTCGGTTGCCTGGATACGGAATTGCGGGCTGAGATGGTTCGACTGCGAGCGGCGGGTTTGGTGGAGGAGAGGCGGGATGTTCTGGTTGCACCGGACCTCATAGCAGTGGACGGGTCAATGCTAGGGCTGGGATTCGATTGGCCCTTAGCTCCGGGCATAGCGCCATCCAAGGCTTCTGATTGGTTGAGATCGAAATTCCGCGCGCTCTCGACCAATCGCAACACAATGCGCACGGCCGCCAACACCGACCGACGCGATATGCGGACGCCCTCAGGTGATGTGATGACAAACACAGGGTACGCGCCCGTGGTGCTTATTTCGCAACGGTACGGAATACGCTTATTCGGCGTTAGTACACTCCTGTAAAGGGGTAGTAGCGATGCACCAAGAGAGATCGTATGGTGAGGGGTTGGTGGGATTAGACTTGAAACCCTATTGTATTATGAGCCATGGTACACTTGCGCACAGCAAGCCGAGCGCATTTATAGGCAAACAGAGACACCCTAAAACCCTAAACCTTAAAACTAATACTTACCAGAACATGCGCACAGCATAGTACCCAACGGGGCAGATGTACTGTGTACTATAGAAGGGAACCCTAAACTCTAAAACCCTACACCCTAAAACCAGTACTTACCAGAACATGCGCACAGCATAGTACCCAACGGGGTAGATGTACTGTGTACTATGGAAGGCGGGGTGTGGCACTATGCGTCCCATGTTCACAGTCATAAGTGTGCTGTCTCTAATGTACACGTGGGGCAAGTTAGCTTTGGCTGCTGCGTTGGTGGTTTCATGTATGCGGTTGGTGATGGTGCCAAGGGCTTCGTAACGCGTTAACATGCTCGTGCAGACGTCTTGCAGCCCGATGGTTTTGGAGATCTCTTCGTACCAGGTATGGGGGTTGTTCCAGGCTGCCAAGGAGGCAGGATAGTGTGTTAATATAGGTATATGCAGTCAAAAGACAACGTTTTCTTCTATTGAGCAAGTATAGTTCCATGCATACGCCTAATTTTTAAACGTATATAGTTCCATGTATGCGCCTTTTCTATTAAATGTATATAGTGCCATGCATACTCCTGGAGGTCTACTATGTCAGTGCGTTCACGACCAAGTTCTATATCTTGTAGCACCAGTACATGCTTGTACATACATCTCTAGGCCACAAATTTATACCCTAACATGTGATAGATTCATATGTACCATAGAATTTATAGAAAGACATGTAAGCATCGCCTTAACATGTGATAGATACATATGTACCATAGAATCGTATGTACAAAGAGACATATACCTGTCTCCATGTTTGTGTGAGTGCGATGATCATACGCTCTACAATACGTAAACGTAAACACGCGTACATGCTAGCGCACCCAACTCTGCGGTCACAGGTTCAGCACAACTCCGCCCGGACATGCACATATAGTCCACGCCAGGCGGAGTATGGTATATTGTACGACCCACTACACGCATTTGTATGTGGATTGCTCACTGCTACATAAAACAGGCTGTGTGTAATTTGGGTGGTTCCGTGGGTGTGGAGAGTGCACAGTAGATACATGAGCAGACCACTTAGACTCAGCTATGTCCGACTATGTATGGACACACTCGCTACACCCACTCTCCCCAACGGATAACGTATATACATACTGGGGCATACACAGATTAAGCATAAATACTAAAATATACACACACCATGCACAAAAATTTCGTATACTGTGGAGACTCCGAACGCACAAAGACCACACACACAGACACAGACACAGACACAGACACAGACAGACACAGACACAGACACATGCACAGACACATACACAGGCACAGACACAGACACAGGCACGGACACAGACACAGACACAGACACAGACACAGACACAGACACAGACACAGCCACAGCCACAGACACAGACACAGACACAGCCACAGCCACAGACACAGACACAGACACAGACCCACAGACACACCAAGAGGCTTCTCCCCAATGCCGTCCCGACTGGCATCAGTGATCTGATCCACTCCATCAACCGCGACAGTCTCTGACAGGCTGTGCTGTGGACACAACACCGTGCCATCGGTATGAAACTCACACCCCGCGGCACGTGCACAGGGATAGTGGAACACGATGTTGCAGCGATTTAACGAACATTTGACAGCCGCAAACTTCTCGTCGCACAGGTTGCATCGGTGGTTTATCTGATGACGAGAGAGAGAGAGAGAGAGAGAGAGAGAGAGAGGAAGGGGAGGGGGGGTGGACGGGGGCCGACGGGTGGGGTGGTGGTGGTCGGT